AAACAGGATAACATTTAGAGAATAACATGTAAAACATTGTCCCAATAATGAATATGCCAATAAATTTTTTAAATCCTGTCAAAGTAACTATAGAGGATATGTAAAACACAGCACGAAAATAAAGAGTAAGATTTAAGAAAAATATTCATACTTCAGTAGGTATATTAACTTACTTTTTTAAAATCTTGGGCCTAAAACCTAAACTATTTTTAATTCATTTTTTAATTGCAGTTGTCATACAATATTATATTAATTTCAGGTGTAAACATAGTGATTAGACATTGATATTTACAAAGTGATCACCCTGATAAGTGTAGTATCATCAGACACCATACATAGTTATTACACCATACATAGTTATTACAATATTATTGACTATCTTACCTATGCTGTACTTTACATCCTCATGAGTATTATTATTGTGGTGACATTGGTTAATGACATTATTTTAGTTTTTTATAAATATTTCTATATCCATTTATTCATTGACAGACACTTAGGTGTTTTCGTATCTTGGCTCCTGTGAATAATGCTGCAATGAACATGGGAGTGCAGATATCTCTTTGAGATAATGATTTCATTTCCTTTGGGTATATAACCAAAAGAGGGATTGCTTGATTAAATGGTAGTTTTTTTGATTTCTGTGAAAAAATGCCATTTGAATTTTGATAGGGTTTACATTGAGTCTGTATATTACTTTTTAATGTGGACATTTAAAAAATATTAATTTTTTTAATCCATTAACATGAGATACCTTTCCATTTATTTATGTCTTCATCAGTTTCTTTCATCAATGTATTATAGTTTTTACTGTGTAGATCTTTCAACTCCATGGTTAAATTTATTCTTAAATATTTTATTCTCTCTGATGCTATCATAAATGGGATTGTTTTCTTGATTTCCTCTTTGAATAGATTATTGTTGATGTGAAAAAAAAACCAACTGATTTTTTATATTGATTTTGTGTCGTGCAACTTTACTGAATTCATTTATTCTAACAGTTTTTTTTGTTTTTGTTTTTTTAGCTGAGCCATCCTTCTACCTGTTGGCAGCTCAGCGGCTGCTCAGCTCGGGCTAGACTCAAACCGCTGTTGCTCAGAGCTCAAACTCTTGAGCGAGCTCTTAACCAACTGAGCCACTCGGCCGGCCCTATTCTAACAGTTTTTGAATGGGGTGTTTTTACATATAAAATTAGGGTTTTTACATATAAAATTATGTCATCTGCAAACAGAAATAATTTCATTTCTTTCTTTCCAATTTTGATGCTTTTTTTTCTTATCTGATTGTTCTTGCTAGTAATTCCAGTGCTATATTGAAATGGCAACAGTGGGCATCCTTGTCTTGTAATGGATATTGGAGAAAAAGTTTTCAGTGTTTCCCCATTATGATGTTAGTTGTGGGTATTTCATAGATGACTTTTATTGTGTGAAGAACATTCCCTTCTATATCTATTTTATTGAGAGTTATTATCATAAATGAATGTTGAACTTTGTCAAATTCTTTTTCTGCATCTATTGAGATAAACATGTGGTTTTTATTTTTTATTCTGTTAATGTAGCTTATCACATTGACTGATTTGCATATGTTAAACTAACCTTGCATCCCAAGATAAATCTCACTTGGTCATGGTGTATAAGCTTTTTGATGTGTTGTTAAATTTGGTTTGCTAGCATTATGCTGTGGAATTTTGTGTCTCTGCTCGCTCATCAGAGATATTGGCTTATAGTTTTATTTTTTTGCAGTGTATTTATCTGGCTTTGGTATCAGAGTGATGCTGGCCTCAAAATGCATTTGGAAGTGTTCCCTTTCCTCCTGTTTTTTTGGAAGAGTTTTTAAAGGATTGGTGTTAATTCATCATTGCAATTTTGATAGGATTCAGCCATCGTACCATCTGGTCCTGGGCTTTTCTTTGTTGAGAGATTTTTTATTACAACTTTAATCTCCTTATTTTTTATTGCTCTGTTCAGGCTATTTCTTCTTGATTCAATCTTTGTTAGATTGCAAGTTTCTAGAAATTTATCCATGTCTTCTAGGTTATTCAATTTGTTAGCAAATAATTGTTCATAATATTCTCTTATAATCCTTTCAGTGGTATTAGTTGGAATACCTTCTCTTTCATTTCTGATTTTATTTGAGTCTTCTCTTTTTTTCTTGGTGAGTCAGGCTTAAGGTTTTTCTATTTTGTTTATCTTTTCAGTAAACTAGTTATTTTCATGGATCTTTTCTATTGTATTATTAATCTCTATTTCATTTATTTTTGCTCTGATCAGTGCAATATGTTTCCATTTTTGCTTCAGAACCCATTTAATGGTTGATTTTAAAATATATTTCCTATTCTACATGAAAAACTTAAAATGGGTCCAGTTTTCTTCAACAATACCTTTAATCAAGCCAAATTTAAAACCTTGTTTTACATTTGTAATGTTTGGCACCACAGAGCCTTAATTCATAAATACACCAGTTCCTTATTTAAAATACTTGTCACTTAGTTCTTCATACAAAAATCATAGAAATACTTAAAAATTAATCACTTGTGTCTTATATCTATAACTTGTCTGGGCAATGATTTAGTCCTTGAAGACACAGGTATAATTTATAGAAAAAGTAATAGAAAGAAGTAGCCTCCCCAAAATGTCAAGATAAATGCCCAAATCAAGTGATCTGAAAAGTAAGGATTTTATTGTGGGTACAGTGGACACAAAGTAGAAATTTATTTTATTTTATTTTTTATTTTATTTTTTTTTCAGCTTATATTGATCATTTAATGTATGCATAGGCTATAACTATAGAGAATCACTGTTATAGCTTTCTGTCTCTCTGCAATTAGAAACTAATGAAAAGTTAGAGATGAAATAGTAACTTCACGTATTAAATGCCTATGCACATTTTTAATGAACACCATGTGTATTAATATTTAAGGTTTTTTAACGCAATAAGTAAACATACTTCTTGCATGTTAATTTAGCAATAAGTTGAATTGACAATGACATTACTCTTGGGCAAGATGTTTCTGTGTTTTGTTTTAGTAACATTTATAGTAGAAAAATTTATTCTCACAGAGTATCGTAACATGAACGGGAATACAAATTTTAAAGGAAGTTCAACAAACTCAGACTATTCGTTTTTAACTTTTCTCCAAAATGAAGCAATAAAACATTATTTCCCAAATCTATCTTTCATTCTTTATCAGTAGCAAATTTGGACAATTTATCCTATAAAGTTAAATTTAAAATTAATGTAACTTTCAATAAAAGAATAGATTCCAGATCCATGAATTTTCTATTCACGAATATTCTTATAATGGAAAGTAAAATTCAAAACCTTCTACAAAATTCTAAGCTGTATGGCAATAACTTTGTGACTGTAATTTCAAAAACATATCATCACCTACTTAACTATTAATTATTATTAAATTGTGGGAACTATCAACACTGTAGAAACTGTTCAGGCTTCTAACTTTTCTTTTTGCCCTTTGATCTTTTTTTTTTAATTTTTTTTTTATTGTTAGTTTCAGGTGTACAGAACAATGCAATAGTTACCCTTTTCACCCTCACAAAGTAACAACCCCCCTCCCCCCATCTATTGCCCTCTCACCCCCAATATCATGCTTATCTATTACAATTCCATTGAATCCGTTCCCGCACTCTACTCCATGTCCTGAGGTTATATGTATATATAATTATAGTTGACATACAGTATTATTCAACATCAGTTTCAGAAATACAATGCGGTGGTCAGGCCTCTACATCAACTATGAAGTGGACTCCCCAAAAGGACATGGGTCCATCTGGCCCCCTAAGAAATACTTACAACATTATTGATTGTAGAAATTTTTTTTATTATTACTATATCTGTTCATAGAAACTAGAAATTAGGTAATATCATCTAAATGTATATTAAAGAATTATTCAAAATTGAGCAAGTTTTATTTTTTTAATTATTCCTTGCAAAGGGAATATTTTTATTAATTTCTTATTTATCTTTCCAGTATTTCTTTATACAAATGTAGGCAAATACAATAGGTACTCTTATTTTCTCTCTTTTATACTAAAGGTAGCATAGTGTATACTGTCAATCAAATAATATACTCTATACTCTGTTCACTTGCTTTTATCACTTAATGATATGAGCTATAGGTCTCTTCATATCAGTATGGGGATCTTCCTCATTTCTTTTTACACCTGCATACTATTCCTTCAAATGGGGGTGCCTTAGTTTATTCAACCAGTACTTGACTTCTAAATACATGGGTTGTTTATAATCACTTTTACAAATTATGCCACAATCAATAAACTTGTACATATGTTCTTTCATGCTTATGTAGGAGGTCATGTAGGATATATTCTCAGAAGAGAAATTGCTGGGTCAAAGGGAAAATATGTATTTTTGGTAAATATTGCCTGATTTCCCTCCATAAGAGGTTATATGTTTTTGAGCAAGTTTTAAAGAAAATGCAGTAAAACCTTGGATTGTGAGTAACTTGGTTTGCGAGTGTTCCACAAGATGAGCAAACATTTCTAATACATTTTAACATGGTAAATGAGCGATGTCTTGCAATACAAGTAGTTTGTTTCCGGAATGAATTATGCTCACAAACCAAAGTATTTTTGTATATGGTTTACTACCTCTCTTGCCCTTTCTAACTCCAACTTAATCTAACCTTGGTCCTACTCAAAAATTTAAAATGCAAGTCCCTTGTTAACCAATTCTTTAATCTCTGCCAGAGATAAATGCCCACTTACCTCTAGTATTTCAGGCTAATACTTAATATATTTTAATGTCTCAAGGCTTTAAACTCAGAAGTCCTATTAAGTAAAAATGAGATGGAATATTCATTTCCTTTGACTGGGGCAAGCTATAACAACATCCTAAACCCCTCTCAACCATCTTTGCTTCTCTCCATGTTTAGGATGCTTTGCTAGGAGGAAAAGGGGGTATCATGCCTTTATGTGAAGAAAAAAATACCAGAATTTAAGAAAGTATTTTGTTTTCTGTTTTAGCTATAGACTTCAATATGGTGGAAATTTTGAAGAACCCAAGAGCATATATAACACCTACATCCAAGGAAGAATCAAGATTAACAAGACGAACAACAAAGGTTTGGAGTCATTATTTTTAAAAATGTCCTTACTTTTTTTATTTGCAGTATAATTAGTTCAACAGCTTCACATAGGCAATGTTAGTTATTTCATTCTTGATATATATTTTAGAAAAATATTAATGATCAAAAGTGATTTATTGGAGAGGTTAATCTTAATATTAAAATGTTTTATTTTTTTCTGTGAAAAATCCCCATCTCTAATGAGAAAAAAACCCCACAGTATTTATCTTTTTTCATGCTCTGGCACTGCTAGTCCTTGAATTGACATACAGACATGGCTCTGATCTCAACAAGCATCAAAGTTGGGAAAACATCAAGGGAGTTTTCGGCAATGGTTGGCCTGTCCCCACCTCTTAAGCCACAGTCCTAGCATAACTGACTACATGTAAAGACTGTTCCTCTTAAGTTGTAAATACTATGTTTCTCCACTTTCCTGAAGGTGCCTCCAAAATAGAGATTTTTATGGACTTACCACCTTGTGTTGCTTTAGTCAAGATTTGATGAGGTTATTGGCTTGAAATTCTGAATTTGATCTCTTAACTTGTTAGACAATTAGGTTTTAAATCTGTTGCTGTCATTATTGCTAAAATTTTGCCTAAATTATCTAGACAAGTCTATTATTTTAAATTTTAAATTATGCCTATATAAAAACTACTTTCTCAAAGCCAGTATTCACATATTTTCTGCCCTCTAATAATCTAGGAATATAAAATCTCTTTCCAACCTTCACAGTGCTGCCAAGGATGATTTGTAAGTACAGTATTTAGGTTAGAAAATGGTGATCTCGAGGACTCAATTTGGGATCCAAATTAGGACACCATTTTGGGGGTGGGAGGGTGGGGGGAGATTGCCAGATTTAGAAATCAGGGAAATGTAGTAAAATTGTATGTCTGATCTTCAACTAGCACTAAAAGTGGTCTTTTATACCTTGCTTACGGTTGAAGAAATATGGACAGGTGGATTTGTAACGGACTGAACAACCTTTTCCAGATGACACTATTAAAAAATAGAATGTAAATTGCAGACACATCTTTGGTAGTATACCATGGTGTTGCATTATTGGCTGTGCTCCATGCAGATTACTTTATTAATAGCTTGGATAAAAATATGGTTGCCATTTTTATTAGATATGTAGAAGTCATAAAGCTTGGAAGAATTATGAAAACATTGGATGACCAAAAATTCACAACAGGCTAGAGTAATAGGCCTAATCTTAGAAGATAAACTTTTATTGTAGAAAAAGTATAAAGATCCAAAATTACAACTGGATAAGTATAATATAATAAAGCCTTGGCTTAGGGGCATCTGGAAAGATTTGTAAATTGATTTTAACAATAAGTTCTGTATGTGTCAACAGTAGAATGTTGTTGACCCCAAAATCTACTGTATTCTTGCACTATTCAAAATAGACATGTGGGCTTTACTCTATGCTAATTTGACAATAATTGTATATTATATTCATTTTGGAGAGTTGCATTGTAAAAGGGTGTAAACAGAAGCATTCTTAACAGAATATAACCAGGATGATGAAGGACTATGAAACCATATTATTTGAGAAATGGCCAAAATATTTAAAGACATTTCCACTAGAAAAGAAAAAACCCTGAAGGCCTTATTAACTGTTTTCAAATATGTAGAGCGCTACTGTAAGAAAGCAGGATTAGACTTTCTGTGTGGCTCAATAATGTTTTTTCACCAATACAAACCAAAAAGTATTTTACTTTTAGCACTAAGTGAAAGCTATAGGGAGACAGATTTCAGTTCAACATAAAGAAGAATTTTTTAAGCCCCAGGGTTGTCCAAATGCTGAATACGCATATGAACATCAGCAAGACACACATTAAAACCTCAAAAACTCTAAGTTTAGCTTTATGGTCATTGTTAGCAATTATCCTTTAGTAAATTAACAGAAAATCGAGCACTAACAGAAAAAAGATCCCTTGGACTTCCTGGATCATCCCTTGTGACCCTTTCAAAGTTTATAGGATTGCTTGGGTCTTCAAATGTAGTACTAGGTTGATTTTTGACTCTAAGTCCTGTTTATGGAATCAAAGTTCTCTGACAATTTTATGTCATATCTTTTGTCGGGTGAATGGAAGCAGTGGGCTTCTGTTAATTGTTTTGGCTATTTGGAATGTCTCCAGCAAAAGGTCTTTGGGCAACATGGGACCTTCTGCTTTGAAGTATCTAAGAAAATGACTAAGGCTCCACAAAACATTGGATTTGTATTTAATACTAGTTCTGCTCTTGCCTGGTTGAATTATCCTTAAAAATCATGGCTCCTCATAGAGAAAGAAGGAGCTGTGAACTGTGGTTCGCGTAAGTTAAAAACTGGTAACTGAAGGGAAAAAAAATAACAAAAATGTCTATTTCTAGTACTTCAGTAAGATAGAGTTTCTATTTTACAATACCCAAGGCAGAAGCCAGGGAACAGTCATAAAATGATCTTTTGAGACAGGCAAAATTTCCTTTTAATCTACATACAGCTTGGCCTGGTTTTGCATGCAATTTAAAGATCAGGCTAGAGGGCCGGACGAGTGGCTCAGTTGGTTAAGCGTGCTAGTTCTGAGCAACAGGATTGCCGGTTCAATTCCCACATGGGCCAGTGAGCTGTGCCCGAGCTGAGCTGCCACTGAGCTGCCAACAGGTAGCAGGATGGCTCAGCTGGTGAGAGCATGTGACCCTAACAACAAAGTTTCCAGTTCGACTCCCTCATGGGATGGTGGGCTGCGCCCACTAGCAACGAAGATTGAACACAGTAGTACCTTGAGCTGAGCAGCCGCGAGCTGGCGACAGTCAGCTGGATGGCGACTAGACTTGGAGCTGAGCTAGCTGCACCCTCCGCAATTAAGATTGAAGGACGACAACTTGGCTGTTACCCTTCCCCAATTCCCTTACATTGTTCCCCTCTCCCAACTCCCCAATAAAATCTTTAAAAATAAAAATTAAAAAATAAGGATCAGGCTAGATATAACCTGATGTAAATTGGGAGATTAAGATGAAGGAAATGATTTACATCATGAAAAATACATCTGATATTGACATTAAATTTTCACCATCAAAGAATTGCTTTTGATTATTATAGTCTCACTTTTTAAAATAATTCTGGAGCAGCTATGAATGAATACAATGAAAAAGTAACCATAAGCAAAGGAAACAAAAGAGAATTTTATGTATCAGTAAAAACAAATAAGAATAAAATCTTATTTCCCACAGGAAATGGAATCAATAATAAATCTCTCATTTAGGCCTTACAAAAAATTGAGAAAATACTTACAAGTAGTTGCTATACTGATCTTGTTTCCCCACAAGACGTCAATAATAGAATCTTGGAGTGATTATATTTATGGTTGCTGTTTCCCTGATATAGAATTCATAGTCAACAGGTTTTGTGTGTTTGTTTGTTTGTCTGTTTTCCATCAGCACTTTGATTATGTTATCCAATTGCCTCTGGCCCCATTTGTTCTAATGAGAAGCCAGCTGTTAATCTTATTAAGGCTCCCTTATATGTTGTTTTTCTCTTGCTGTTTTTGAGATTTTTCTTTTTGTCTTTGTCTTTCAATACTTTGACTATACGTCTAGGTGTGAATTTATCCGACTTGAAGTTAAGCTTCTTGGTTGTATTTTTCATGAAATTTGGAAAGTTTCAGTCATTATTTCTTCATATATTTTTTCTAGGATCCTGTTCATTTTCTTCATTCTTTTTTCTTTCTATTTTTCAGACAGGATAGTCTCTATTGACCTATGTTTAAGCTTGCTGATAAAGCAAAAGGCTAGGAGAGCTTAACTGCCCATACTCATAGACTCATACATTAGTAGATTTCTTTAATTAAGAAGATGCTTTGCAAAATTTACTTGTATTTACTTTAATATCCTAGATGGTCATTTTATTTATAGTTATAATGCACTTATATTTTATTTACAGTTCTTTAAAAACACACAAAGGTAATAACTGATTTGGTTTCTTTCTTCCCTTCATAGTCCCATTATGCTAGCATTGGTCCAGAGTTTAACCGTGTGCTCTTCAATATTGGAAGTCAGAGTCCACTGATTTTATATTATCTTCAGATGCATGACCTAGCTAGTATTTCCAAAGGCCCTAGAAAAACCAAGATTAAACTCACTGAAATATTGCAAGAACCATATCCTTTTTAAAACTTTGCTTTAATATGATCTATTTCTAAAATATTCAAAACTGTTTACTAAATGTGTCAATTAAGAAAAAAATAATGCATTTTTTAACCAATGCTTTTTATTTAGCATTTAATTATGTTCAAAACTTTTATAACATGTTTAGTTACTTTCTCTTTTGGATCTAAGGCTGTGATTTGGCGTGTAGGAAAAATAAAACAAGCATAACTTTAAAAACTGGTATATTTAGTTCTTTAATAAAAGACTATCTTTGTAACTTACTGTTCAGGGTTCAGTTTCAAACATTTGTTGGAACTGTGGGGAATGGGTTTCTAGGCTTCTCTAGGACAGAGTTTCAAACACGCGTTAGCTATGGAATCCTTCATTCCAATGAAAATTTATTTAAAAACTTCATGTGTAAGATATAAAATAAATGAAATGGGAGCTCTTTAGTTGCAGCAGAAGGGGGGTCTGTGGAGGGCAGAGTTCTGTTTGCACCCCTGTGCTCCTGCTACATAACCCATCCTGGCCTCATTGGGGACTCACATGAACCCCGAAGGGATCTAATACTGAAGCGTACATAGCTCTGGATGAAGGAAAAAAATATCAGGACTCTTATTTACAGATATTTCTATCTTGAAAAATATAAAAGAAGTCTCACTTTACTAATATTTAGTAAAGGGGTACCCCCACTCAGCTGATATTTTAGTCTGGACTCTACTATGTTGAGGGATCATGATGGTATCTTTGCTCTCATGTTGTTTTCTGAGTGTCACAACATAGTGATGTTTTGTTTGGGTGTGTAAGCAAATTTATAGATTATATCATCTAGTTTTAACTAAATTAACAACTCACTCATAGACCAGTAGCTTTAGAAGATTTCTGAAAAGAACAGTGGATTGATGCAAGAATAAATTTTTTTTAAAAAGGAAAGAAATGGCAGAGCAATATTTCCCCTGCTCTTTGAGGGAGCTCATTTCCAGCCACAATAAGAAATGAAATAAATGGTGACCTATTCAGTTCCGCCAGGATGTAGGCCAAAAATATAAAAATAAAAATATTCAAAAAGACTATTTGTAATATAGATATACATCATTTTATAAACAACAAATCTAGCCCTAGGTGCCTTACACTTTTCAATATTATCAAATGGTAGTATATCAGTTTAATTTGCAAGGCATTTATAAACCAACTGTCTAGGCACCAATACAAACCTCTACAAATTGAGGACAAAAGATTTGGTGTGCCATTAGTAACTGTTAAATTTTATTTTTAAAATATTTTATTTCATCTCACTGTTTTCTATCACATCCTGTGTATCTTTTATAATGTGCATAATATATTAATACAGGTTGATGTGTATATAATTTATAAATTAAAAATTATACCTATATGGGCATGTGCTTATGTAGCTTTTACTCATGAGATATGTGATCAAGAAAGTGTGGAGACCACTGCTCTAGCAGATTCTCAGAGCTCTTCATACGATGCTTCTTCTCCCACATTGCAGTCAAGACAACCTCTAGAGCCTCACTGACCACAAGCACATGAAATTAACTTGAATGGCTCCGGAACACTAGGAGAAAGGCAAACTATAGGGAAAATCAATCTGTTTTAAGACTTTTAAGTTAGGTAGTGATGTAGGGATTCTCATCAACCTTGGATTATGTCTAAAATATAAATTTTTAATCTCTAGAGTGAAATTTGAAAGGTATTTGAAACCTTTCATAATAGATTACTTTTATTTTTAACTATTTTTTATTGTGATTATAAAAATGTCAATCTTTGATTGTGTTTATATTTCTGATGGGCATGGATTTATCCAACGGCTATGCCAGAATTCATACCACCAGTTTACTGAGAATGTGGGAAAAGTGTATGTGTTAGGGTAGAGAAAGAATGAGATGAAAATCTAAAACGTGAAAACTTTTAGGATTGTATCTCATTCTGTAAAAAGTTGAAAGGAATCATGCAATCGAAAGTAATGGGGCTTTCCATGATGCTTACTGAACTTGTAAAATATAATGCCCGCTTATAAGAAAAAATGTTCCTAGATCTAATGATAATGATGAACAAAATTATAATAATGATGCCTCATATCCATCAGCACTTGGCAATTTTTTTCAAGCATGTATTGAATTCCCCCTCTGTATTATCACGGGAATGGCAGGAGTCCTGTGGCAGTGGGCAGAGCAGGCACCCATCACAGCCACTTTACAGATGAGGAAACCAAAGCACAAAGAGAGTTAAGTGGCTTGCCCAGGTGATTTGTGCAGCAGAGCCGGCAACAGAGTCTTCTATTTCCTGAGCATGGCTGCTTTCCTGACATGGTAATCCAGGCTAGAATTCTCTCTGAGCAGGATACTAATGATTGGTGACAGAGCCCAGTAATATTTCCTCCAGGATAGTGATAGCTGCCAATGAAGTTTGTGTCCAGATTTCCCATAAGTATCTGTGATGACTGTAGATCATTGAATTTATCTCCATCTCACTCAAATTTTACTTTGAAACTGTTCAGAATACAGAACATTTTTAGTAGTTTTCTCTGGACTTACTGTAGTCCTATAGCTTTCCTGGAGTGCAGAAGCAACAGCTTGCAGTGAGTGTATCTATGCAGAGTGAGGGAGTGGAGAAAGTAGAGAAGGAGATAAATAAAGACAACAACAAAAAAAGACAAATATAGTTCATCATATTTGAGGTAGGCAAACTCTAAGGTGGTCCCCAATGATTCCCACCTCCTGGTGGTATTCATGGCCTTATGTAATGCCTTCCCATTGTGTGTGGGCTGAAATTTTGACTTCCTTCTAACAAATAGGGTATGGCAAATATAATGGTATATCACCTCTGAGATTCAGTTGCAAAAACTGACATCAGCCCTGCTCGACTTTTCTTGCTTGCCCTCACAAAGCATTCTGAGGGAAATCATATACCATGTTCTAAGTTGACCAGGAGAGAAACCTACTTGGCAGGGAAGGGAGGAAGGCCTCCATCTAACAACCAGTAAGAAACTGAGACCCTTAGTCCCATGAGGAAAAAAAAAACCCATGAGGAAGTAAATATTGTCAATAACCACGTGAGTGAGCTTGAAACCAGATCCTCCTTCGGTTGAGCCTTGGAGGTGACTGCAGCCTGTGAAGGACACTGAGCCAGAAGTATCCAGCTGAGCCATGCCCAGACTCCAGACCCACAGAAGCTGTGCAATAACATGTTTGTTGTTTTAAGCTGCCATGTTTTGGGGGTAATTTGTTATACATCAGTAGATAACTCACAATATTTCAGCAAAAGTCTGATTTAAATGAAT